CATCAGTTTTTATTTTCGTCATGGTTGAAGAACTTGTGTACATCCGTGCATGAAGTAAACAAGTGCTAAAACATGCATTCCTTTTCTTCTATTCTATTCCTGGCAAAGTTCAAAGTTCTATCTTCTACAGTAAGCAAAATGATCCTATGGCACCTGAACCTACAGGAACGAGCTACCCTGATCTCCACCAATGTGGGCCTATGGCAAGTTACGGAATATCTCCACTTTCGGTCGGAGGACGTCAATGGTGGACATCAGGGTTTTACACATTCTCATACAGGATTCATAGGATCATTACCCTTATGTTTAGGCATAAAGTCATTCCCATAAAGTATAGGAGATAGAAAAATAAGAAAGAGAAAATTACAGTGCACGTGAGCGTAATGGCACACATGCAGAGAGAGAGAGAGAGAGAGAGAGAGAGAGAGAGAGAGAGAGAAGAGAGAGAGAGAGAGTAGTAGTAGAGAGAGAGAGAGAGAGAGAGAGAGAGAGAGAGAGAGAGAGAGAGAGAGAGAGAGAGAGAGAGGAGCTTAGTTTAGGTCCAAGATACATTGGGATCTCCTTTAAGTAGAGGAGTGTACATATATGGCAAGCAGCGTAGTTAGGGTTATTAAAGGACCACATTGGTGGGCGTTGTCTTAGCTAGGGATGACGATCACGTGCGTTGCCCGCTTGTGGCCCTTCCTTATTTATTCAAGGCGTTAATATGGTGAAAATGGAAGTTCTTATCGCTAAAGGACAGGAAACTTTGTGACATGGGAATATGTCTCGGCAGGGGTTGGAGGAGGTTTTTTAGGGTTTTCTTTGAAGAGTACGATGAGATGCGGTAATGTAAATGTGTGTGTAACATGGGCGGTATTGGCTTATGGGTTGGATTATTGCTTCTCTCTTGCTCCAACCATTTGAAAAGTTAATTCTTAGCGTTAAGGGTTAGAATAACAATTTAGTCCTTAGATACTTGGCATTAATCCTTATATACTTGCCTTCACTTAGCAACAAAGTTTGTTTTTGTCCTTTCACAAGATAGAAAGAGATTTTTTTTTTGCGGCAGGAATTGAATTTGTGGCGTAGCATTGCTTAACAATAATTGCTCAGCACTCATTTTTTTTTTAAGTAGGTTATGGATTTGTGGTAATTCTTAATTTTTACATATTTACAGGGAAGCTAATGGGATGGTGGATTCCCTTGTTTGGGGTGGAGGTCTTCATCCTCACAATTAATGTCATCTCTTTTGAGTATTCTTTCAATAGAAGTTGAAAACATTCACATTAAAAAAAAAAATTTTTTTGCCAAGCACTCAAGCTCAAGCCCTATTCCTTAGGTGCTTGGCTTCTAACCACGCAACCCCATACCTTGGAGATGAAAGAGGGAGAGAGATTTTTTTTTTTATATAGGTAATTTAGTGGGAAAGACACGCCTTTACTCTTTTTTTTTTCAAGATAGATTAAGAAGTTAGCGTTTTTTAAGATGTCAGTAGGTGGTATTAGCATGATTGAAGGCCACACCGTAGTAACTAGGTATGGGATTGCTAACACCAACGACCTAGCCCCTTTCCTAAAGAGAGAAAGTGCTTAGATACTTGGCTTTTGGAGAGAGAGAGAGAGAGAGCACCAATCCTTAAATACTTGGGTTGAGAGAGAGAGAGAGAGATCGTTTTTGTCCCTTTAAGACTTGAAAATCTCTCCCATACACTCGACAACGAACGGGCACACACCCACACAAGAAAGAGATAGGGACCTACGAATCATTCCCATACCCACCACCGAAAAGGGGCTCGCTCGCATATCCCACACAACCCCACCACCGCAAACGACTACTGTTGGCGAACTTAAACTAGGAATCTCTGCTCATTTCATCAAATACGACTATGGTTCATAAAAAAATAAGTGATAAAGAAAACTAGTAAATTATATTCCATCAGGAATAATTCGCACTAGGTTGCCACTTGCCACTAACTCTCCATATTCCCTCCGAGCGTTGACTTAACAATTTTTAATAGCAAGATTATTTAGCCATTACAAAGTGCACTTTGGTCATCTCTCCTAGTAACTAGAAGTAGGTCTACTTCCTCTTTGATTTGACTCCTCTTTAGTAAATTATGTATAGTAGTACCATGTTACAAATTTACATTTTTTTTATTTTGAAAATTCTGTTTAAACTGATCGGATTGGCCATTAAATCACGGATCAAACCCCTATTTTGGTTTAGCAACTTGCTCCATCCTATACTGTTATTTCTATAAAATACATATGCCTATTGTGTTTAGTGCACCACGGACCAATGCTTGGAATGGTTGTCTTTTTTCTTTTTTCTTTTTAATTACTTTTATTTTTAATGTTATCCTTGGAGTGGGTGTCGTCGTATTTATATCTATACTGGCATTACAATCATACACCACAAATGTTATGGCCCACAACTTACAAGACGCATATGTGAACTACTATAATCAACCATATAACTTGGAGTTTAATTGGAACTATATTTAATGGCCAAGGACCTAAAAACTTTTTTGGCTATTTCAATTCTATCTCTTTTTGTTTTTTAACATATCTCTACTTAAATATCTATTCAATACTTGCTTTGAAGAACTCCTCCAAGTAGTGCTGGGTAGCATTTGATATCTCTACCATTCGTAGTTTTAGTCACATAACCGCTTACATGTGACTCATTAAAGTATTTCGTTCAAAGGTTGTATTTTCCAATTTCGTTTATTTCCTAAGGCAATATATCTCTTTTCTCATGGCATCTTTCCATTTACATAATGCCCTTGGCATAATCGCCTCCTTCATTTAATTATTTTGCAGTTATTATTTGTATTTGCTATCTATACTAAATGTTTTTAATGCTCACCTCTGTTGTTTTCCATGTTCAATTTTTTTTATATGGTATGAGGTCTCTATAAGGCCTAGGCTTTATGAAAACAAACTAACGTCTCACATCAAATACTCATATAGAAAGTACTTTCGGCGACGGGAGTCTCTATAATGGCTCTAAAATCAATTTCCAATACCAACAATAAAATTTAAAACTCAAAAAATGGTGCGGATCTTGTGGATCTATGAACACTTAATTTTAAAGCACAAATGTACGATCTAGATAATTTGTTGCAATATAACCTACTTCTTTTTGTAATCCAACATTGATATCAATAAATGCCACCAACCAAAATGCCACTCATCTTTCATTTATTTTGACTGCAAAATTGAACTACAATATAAGAAAAGGTGACCAAAACTCTCACTGTTGCTCCTATTTGAGTAAGTCTTAACACCCTTTAATGAGGTTTAAGAAGTGCAAGCAAGAAATCCCCCATCAAACCCTCTCTATTTTTATCCTTGATTTCTTTATGAATTGCCATCTCTAAAGAAACTCCACTTTTATTACAAAATGCTCTCTCTATTTCTTCCATATCAATCTCATGCCTAGTAACCACTATCCTAATGAGACCCTCTTGAGCCATTACATTGCTTTCACGTTGTCCATTACTCCATGCTTTCCTAAGTTGCTTAGCAAAGTGCTTGTGAGGATATTCAACACATTTAATTACTCTTTTAAGGTCCTTTCCAAACTCTTCAAACTTCTCTCTCCTCAGTGACTTGGACAAATCATGGCCATACAATTCTTTGTAGCATTGGAGAATGGATCTCAATTGCTCCATGCTTCTTCCACTTAGGAGGGAGATGATTGCTGCTGTGTCTAAACATGCGCCATTCTCCATTGCCTCATAAATGGTCTTTGCATCACACATGGCCATGCTCTTATCAACTCTAGAGCGAGAAAACTCGCATGCCCTCAACATTGCCAAAATAATCTACACATGAAAAATAGAACTTAGTCACCATCTTTGAGTTCTATTTTTATGGGATTGTCTATAAAGATATTATTTATCTTATGTGCATGGAGATCACAATCATTCCTACTCGTTAGATGTCAAATTGGATGGCTTGAGATGAGTCATGTAGTTTAAGATTATTATTATTATTATTATTTTGAACTTTGCGTCTATTCAATGACATCCTTACAACCAGCCATCTTGAAATTTAAGAAAAAAAAATGATTGTGATCTCCATGTACAAAAGATAAATAGTCTCTTTATTGACAATCTCTGTTTTTATAACCCACTTGTTAAACAAACACATATGGGCTCACATATACACTCCAAATACGTGGACACATATATACATGTATACATAGGGGATGATCTTAAACAAGTTCAAGATTATTTTGGAGTCCTCCTAAGTTAATATTCTCATAAAAGACTCACATTTGGCACACGTGACATGAAAGAACTCACCTATGTGATTAAGTGTGGGGGTTTTTTCATACTAATTGACAACTAATTGGTGCAAAAAACTCTTAAACCTAATCACACATGAGAATTCTTTCATGTGAATATTCTTTCATGCGAGTATTTTCATGTGTACGAAACGTACCTTCAATTTCCTACCACCCTTTTATAAATGTTTGTCTATTAGGGTATTTCTTGATAATTTATTAGTGAAATGATGGAAAATAGAAGCCATTTTCCAACTCTTTGAACCAATTAAATCCACATGCTTTGCACGTGTGATCACAAATATCGAGAAGTATAAAATTTTTTATCATGGAGTTTAAGTAAAAATTGGCAATGTTAGCACGTGATGGGGGCGGTGGTTTCACATGCAAACACCATTTATCCTCTCTTCAAAATCCAGCATTTGGATTGAGAACGTAAAACCATTCTAAGAGGCTGCAAATTATTTCCAATATGTGCATAAATTCTAGGAACCTTTTTTCATGCAGGCTGGACCGCATTTCTACAATATGCGGTCCTAAGGTATAAAGCACTCATCTTAAAGATGGATGCAAATAGGTGGCCCATCTAAAAACAATTGAAATTAACGGTCCAAATGTTTTCTTAATAGAATTATTATTATTATTATTCTAATGTTTAAAAGTTATTTATTTATTCATATTCATGACATCCATGTTAGAGATTACATGTCCATAAAAACTAAGTCAAAAATCCATCTCAAAAATAGATTTATAAGAGGTGACTCATTTCTACATACACTCATAGAAACCATGTCTTATATTCAAAGGGTTTTGCATGTATTGACGCATCATATGTGCAGATAGAGACATGAGTATTCAGAGGGCTTTGAGTATATGGAAACATCATAGGTATGAGACTTACATCTAACATTCCATGAACTTGCACATTTCTTTTTAGAGGAAATTATGGATACCCCTTGACCGTACTTTTAGTCGTGCCCCCCTCCCCTCCTTTATAAATCATTTTTTTATTTTGGGGCAGTGGTAAAAAAAAGAGTTTTGGGGTTAGTGATGTGTTTTACAATGTATTTTGGCCCCAAGGGGTGGTAGGGGAGGAGGCATACCTAGAAAGTGCAGTTGAGGAAGTATGTATAATTTTTTGTTCTTTTTAACATCATCACTATCATCAGAACACTTTTTCAAATTATTTGGGGTCGGCTACAAAAATCATGGTCTGTCATTCTGCTCTATCAAAGTCATATTCTTAGTGATGCTACGAGTCCTCATATCTTTTCTCATTACTTCCAACTATATCTTTTTGAGCTTACCTTTCATCATTTTTGAGCTTTCCACTCGAACTACTCCGTATCTCCCAGCAGATGTTGTATTGGGTCTGTGCTGGCGAGCGTACCTAAGTCAACGTATTTTTCATTTGATCGCTATTGGTACCGCACCTAAGTTCTTCTGCATGTATTTTTTTTGAATTCTATCCCTTATTTTTAATATCTTTTTTTGAAATGTCACATTCAAAATACTTCATAATACTATAATAATCCAACGTATCTTATTTTCTAAAAAATGTATGGACATGTCTTGTCTAAAATGCTGATATTAGATTGATATTTTTGATACTCATATCATGTCAGATATTGACAGGTCATGTCTATATAATATTGTTTCGTTTTATTTGCAATCAGAAAAATGTGTCCGAGTTTGAAATTGCGTCATGTACATAATTCATGAGCCATAACACCTGCATTTCTAGAAAATGGAATCGAAAGCTTTCACATTTAAAGTAAAAAACAGCAAAGACAAAACCGTTGAATCGAATAATGATGCTCTTCTTACCAGGAAATTTGGCAATGGCAACCCATTCTATCTTAAACCATCAAAATACAAACCTCTAAATGAAAACCAAAAGGCTTCCTAATCCTACGGGAGTAACTATTTATTTACTCCCTCGTGCTAGAAATATTTTTTAGATCTCAAACTTTGGGGATGTCGTCTCTACAAACCATTGAATAATCTTAATAAATTTTTTTTACAAAATAAACTCTTTATGTCCTAAAAAAAAACTAATTCTTCAAGATTGAATAAAGACCGTCTAATTTTTGAAGGGCTAGATCTAAGTGTCACAAAACTCGAAATTCGTTCTTTTTTTTTCTTTTGAGAATATACATCTAATAATTCTTACTTGGTTCCCAAAATTTTAGAATTCAACGTTTTCCTAAATAGGTGTTTTGGGTGTGCAAGTAGATGCGCAATATGATTCCGTGGGAGCATAGTATATGTGCTCTGAGTAGTTCTTTGATAGATACGGTATCTTTGACAGGGCAACCCTCCTTGCTAGTTTTCTATTAGGGCCCATTTGATTCCTTGGAAGGAGACCTATTTCTATAGAAATGGCCCATTTCCCCTATTTGGATGCATAGAGAGGGCGGGATTTGTATTTCTGCACAGAGATTGGTTTCCACATTTTAATCACTTTTGCGGAAATATCAATTCCACCAAAAGAAGTGGATTAAAATTTATGGGAGACTAAAAGTGAACCATGGGCCCAAAAGAAATGCAGTAAGTTGCATTTTGTATAGTGGGTTGAAATCTGCTAAAAAAAAGCTATATTATAATTGTATTTATAACTATAATATAAAATTAATACTATAATTGGATATAAGTAATAAATTAAAATATATTAATAGATATATAATATTATAATATGTAATTAACAGATATAGAGTGGTTCGAGGTTCGCCCAAAAAAAGGTGTAATTATAATTAATAATTATAAATTTATAATTATACATTTTTATTATAATTAGGTATATATTATAATGTATATAATTAATATATATTAGAAATAAATTATAATATCCATACATCCCTTATCAATGTATGGACAACTATCTCTCGAACACAAATTGAGATTCGAGCTCAACGGGGAAAATGGAAATATGAATTTGTCAAAAGGTAAACTTTGCCAAAAAAAAAAAAATCAGCTTTATTTTCTCTCTGTTGTTTTTTAACTCCTTAGAAGGGCCTTGGCCAGCCCTTCTTTAAATATATCAGCCCTTCTTTAAATATATCACGCTATATGCAGTAATAATCATAACATTATAACTTATATATAATATAATACTTTAATATTATCGAATATCATATTAATAATATTATCATAATAAAATATTACTAATACAACATAGTAATAGCCATCTTCCAAATCTCTTATCAGATGCTCTTTAAAACAACAGTCGCCTATATTCCAAGGGATGCCAAATCTAGGAGATCCCAATTCCAGGAGATTCATCCATCCAGGACAGATGCCAATTCCAGAGGATGCATCTATCCAAGACAACCATTTCCAAGGAACTAAACAGGGCCTTAGGTTATTAATTTTCTTCTTGTTTCTACCTATTTTATGATGCGTTTCTCTATTGTCTCCAACCTATTACCTTAGCCTTAATTTGAACTTCAAACCTCTATTTTGTGTTTTTTTTTTTTTGGGGTAATTCAGTTGGGAAGGCATGGCCCTACTCATTTTTTTTTTATGTAGATTAAGAAGTTAGTTTTTCTTTAGAGTATCAGTAGTTGGTGTTAACAGGATTGAAAACCACAACGTGGTAATTAAGTATGAGGATGCTGCTGTCATGAATCAACCCCTTTCCTTATCTCTATTGTACTTTCCATCTAACTTGATCCAACTTACCTAACCAGTGCTAAACCTAATCTCTTCTTAATAATTGTACCCATTCGTAACCTATTTTAAATGGGTGCAGTTTGCATAGAGCCTAAGCTCTGAACAATCAAATTAGGAGGGTCGAGAAATATGGTTTTAATACTGGAAGTCTTTTTTATAGCCTTTAAACATATTTTCATATTTATTTATAAAGTTTAAAGCTTCAAAAATAATGTAGATCGAGAGATCTATGAAAACTTGAAAATATTGAAAAGTTATGGTCCAAAAGTGCCTTACAAGATACACTATTTTCAAAACTTGAAATCCATTTTTTTCTCATATCCCTGCATCTTGATGTAGAGATGATGAATTGAAGGATATTTGAGCATCAAAACAATCACTTCTAGTGAAATTTTTGGGGTAAGCTCGAATTTTATTGTTTAGAGCCTCGGCTCTATATAAACTTTTCCCATTTTAAATAAGGGATTGTATGCTAAAACCATTCACTTTTGGAGGTCTTAATCACTCTTGATGTGAAACGACTGATTAAAACATGTCACAATATTTGAGAAATTTTATTTTGAATCTTGTACCCAATTAATGACACATACCTAACTATCCGATTTCACATCTAACAATCAACACTAATTGTGACCTCTTTATATCAAAAAATAAAAGATCTTCTTATATAAATTTCTTTATAATTTCCTAATGCCCGGTTCCTAGCAATGTACCCCACTTCAATATCCACCTTAACACTTTCATAAAGAATTTGTCTTCCATGAATATGCTACAAGATAAGTCCCTTATTCTGATAACTTTTCAGAGAATTGCTGATCACACCTGCTGTAAATGTGCATTACCTATAATTTTTACTAAATAAAAATACGAAGCCAAGTTTATAAATATAATGTCCATTTTGTCCGATGTTTTCAAATATCACCCATCATGCCAGAAATAAATAATAATCATGGCTTTAAAGTTCAGAGTCGGGTTTGGAATCGCTTACCCACTCTACTGATCCGGTACGGTGGAATTGTTAAAAATCCATAAAAAAGTTTATAAATTCGCAAAAATCTCGGATAAGGTATTTTCCAAATATCACCCATCCTGCCATTAATTTAAGATAATGATTATTATTCATTTTTGTTGATACCGATGCATATCATAGTTATCAAGACCAGACCAGATCATTCAACCTGACCGCTTGGACAACCAATTAATGGCTTGGCATTCCAGTCCAAAGAAAAAACTAGGTTTGATCAAAACAAATGTTTAATTGGTTTTTACTAGTGGATCGACAGGTTTTGATATGTTAGACCAGTTAAACATAGTTGGATATTTTGTTGTAATATATTTTATATTTATAATGTTATTTTTAGTTTTAATTTTTGAAAAATATGGATCAATCGATTCTACCAACAGTGGAACGAGTTTTGATTGGACTAATCATTTCTCTGATTCGGTGGTTGGTCTGATCCTGACACAGCTAATGTGTATTGGTATTGCTCCCGACCCAAATATAAGACTTTAGGGTCATTTGGCTTCAAGAGACAGAAAAAAAATCCAAATTCATCCAGGTTTTCGTTCAAAAGCCGGGTTTCTGATAAAACCTCGGTGCCAAACACCCTCATCCCCATTAATCACGTACTCTAATTTGTCTTTAGTGTTGCATGTCGACACATATAGTTGGGAAATTGATGTATTGACCATGTGTTGGGCATTTTATTGTTTTTTCAATGCGTATCAACTATAAAAGTGTACTCTTTTGTTGTTGTTGTTTCTTTATTTTTAAAATAAATGGGACTACTGAACTACATGATAAACTAGACCTTTCTATCAGGGGAAATGTTTCTATGTGACCCCACCTATATATAAGCCATATGCGACCGCACCTACATATAAGCCATATGTGACCCCACTTCTTAGCCGTTTGATTTGAATCGAATGGCTACGATTGTTCATACCGCAGTGTCATGCCAAATACTATTTTATTTTATTTTTTATTATACAAAACATGTTTTGATGAAATTTTGTGCATCCCAACATAAAAATAGGGTGAACTTGGAAAAAATAAAAAAAAATATTTTCTACACAAATAAATGACCAAATTCCCCTGCAATTTTTAGGGGTATTTTGGTAATTTTTCATCTACAGAAATATTATTTAATTATTTTTATCATATGTGCCATTGTCAGATCTATGCATGTTTCAAATTTTGCTTCAAAATTATTTGTAGAATAAAATAGCAAATAAAAAACTATGAGCCGTCTGATCAAGATTGCTGTGAGGTTAAAAACTAGCTTGTGACATTGTGACTCAAGCCATCTCAGCCATCTCCTCAAAATCTGACGGGGTCACATACATATATATATATATATATATATATATATATATAGTAGGTGGGT